TTAAGGCCACGTTTACATATCATAAACGCACCAAATTGTTGTTTTGCTGTCAGTTTAAATCGTATAAAAAGACCAAAATGCTCGAGATATTGAGATTCAGAATATTTGTTGTCCATTAAATTGAATTGTGTCTTTGGCACCCGCAAAAAATAACAACCAAGCACAACATATTTGCATCTTTAAGTCTCAAATGCCTAAGTGGCAGTCATAATAAAAGTGCTTAATAGCAGTAGAGATAAAGCTGATGAAGGCAACCAATCTGTTTATGCTAATAGGAGTTGATTATTGGAGTTATAAAGTAATAAAATGCAATGTGTGATAGAAAGACTTTGCACGATTGCAGTAAAACAAAATCATGCAATTATCTGTTTCTCTGCAATCAACATTTTTTTTTAATTCAATTGCTTCCATCTGTTGTCAAATACATTGGTAAACAACTATAAAATGAGTTCTTAAATGGCAGTTCAAGATGTGGTATAATTGAAAACAAACACTAAGCGCAGATGACAGAGAATCTATCATCATCCATCTCAGGTCAGTGTGCTGAGCGAGGTGTAAAATGGCTGTTTGGCCGTACATCTGTCCCTCTGTGAGCGTCTGTCTGCGCACAAAGCCGCATGTACACTGAGTATTTCATAATCAATTCAAATGACATTCTCCTGCAGAGCTGTCCTCTTCTCAATGTGTCAATACATGTCCATTTCAGCACTAATTACATGTGTTTTTGTATTAATAGTTGTTGACAGTATATCATTCATTCAGAGATCTAAATGTGTGCTGTTGTAAAACTTCATGATGATATTGAGGGCATGTTTCCAAAATAAAGCCAGTGGCTGAGCTTCTGCTGAGGAGAACAGGGTCTTTGTCTATAATTCATAGAGCTAAATGGAATGGAGCAGCCAGTCCTGTCACTGCATGTCTGCACGAAAGCTCTTAATGCAGAGCCAGCGAGAAGTGTGAATATAAAACACTCCTCAAGTGCTGAACACCAGCAAACAAAGAGCATGTGTGCACACAGAGCTCTCCATAAAGCCACAAACATCTCAAACCAGACGCGGGAAGTCATTCACCATTCATGTGTGCAAAATATGACAGTAAAATCTCGATAAAATAAAAAATAGCATGGCTTTGTCCGGTCAAAAAAAGCACTTCAATACATAGGAATATTTGCAATTATGCATAATCAATGCAAGGGGAATTTCCCGTGTGGTCAGTTAGATTGATGCAAATAAAGAAAAATCAAAAGATGGTGAATTTATGGGATGGATTTATCTAACTGACATGCCATTTTTATTTATTTGTAAAACACAGTCTTCGCAATATGTTGAATAATGACATAAAACAAAGATATGGATTAAAAAAAAAATCAATTCAAAAGTGTATTTATTATAAAAGAATAAGGACATTTGAAAAATAAACCTACAAAAAATATATAGAAAATTCCAAAATATTCCCAATTTGTCATTTAAAATTAGAAAACTGAATATTTAGGTTATTTCCCCAGTTAAAAAAGCCATTCTAATGTTCAGTGAACAGTTCATTCTGGTGATTTTTAAGGTGTTGAAACTAAGCAAACAGCAATAAAGGCTGAATGCTCCCTGTGGCTTTTAACACCCGCAGTCCATTTCCCGTCCATAACCCAAAGGACATCCTTATCTCTTCTGCTTTGTGGCTCTCAGGAGCAGGCGAAACCGAAAGTAAACAAAATAAATAATACAAATAAAAGCTTTTATGGTTTTGAAATTCAATCTCATCTTTCACTTTGAAAAAAAAAAACATGTGGTATTTTTATAGGGAGTTCCTGCCATGCCATTATCTTTACATTTGTACACAACCTCTCTCAGTACACAGCTTTACACTCATTATATACTAACTATACTGCATATATTGTATTGTATTATTGTGAGTACTTTGCAGTAATATACTGTACGTCGTTTTTTGGTAAATCCAGATTTCATGTAAATAATTTTTAACGTAGGCTATAATAGTTTTTTATAATAGTTTTTCTTTTAATTTGTGGTTGTTTTTCTTACCTTTTATCTTCTCTAACTGTGTTTATGTGGCACCATCAAGGCAAATGTGTCGTATGTGTACACCTACTTGGCAATAAATCTATTTCTGATTTCTAATTTCTGATCTTTACAATAAAGAAATTAAGGAAATGGCTTCACCTCATACTGGAGATACTGTTTCCTCCACTCCGGAGTGATGTGGGACGAAAGATGCTCCGCGAATTTCATTTTCCCAGAATGCGAGTCCCCCTCACAGCTCAAAAGGTAAATCCAACTGTCCCCTTCGCTGTCCACGCGACTTTGGATCTGAGTGAACTCTGTGGATCAACATGCGGTGCGTCACTGCGCGCTTTCTGGTTCTTTTCCCCGGTCAGTGCGCACCGAAAGGACCCGGTCCCTTCATTCTGTTTCACGGGGGGGGGAATAGCGGTCTCTCTCTGGGAACAGGTGGTGCGGTTTAACGGTGGTTCTCTCTTCTCTCTTCAGTGACTTTGCTCCGTCCCTCCCTGGGCAGGTCTGGGGACTCTGCGCGTGGAGCCACAGTGCGTGCGTGGTTGCGTCAGCAGAGCGCGTGGGGAGGTGGTGGTGGTGGGACCTCCGGGAGAAAAGGAGTGGAAAGTGCGGTCAGAAAACTCAGACCACAGAGAGGAGAGCATTCTGGTGTGTGTCTGCAAGCAAAGAGAGGAAGAAGTTAGATTAAAAACACTTGATGTGAGGGTTTGAAGTTTGAAGTCCGTGTTTTGTGTCACAACCAACAAGTTCAAACTCCATTTCAAGTCAAAGTCAACTTTATTGTCCATCTTTCAGTTTGTGTGTACAGACAGAGATCCAAATACCGTTTCCCACAATCCCGAATACAAAAACAAAGAAAAATATGTATGCAAATATGTATATATACACAATCAACAGACACATTTATACACATGCACACATGAAGACCTAAATAAAAGCACAACAATCAATATATACAAAACAACAGTTACTTCAATATCTTTGAGAATGTATTTAAAGATCCAATAATGATTGACTGTCCTCATCCGCAGTGGTGTAAAGTAACTAAGTACATTAACTCAAGTACTGTATTTAAGTAAAACATTAAGGTACTTCTACTTTACTTGAGTATGTTCATGTTATCCTACTTTATACTAGATTTTGTAGGCAAATGTTGTAAATGTTACTCCTTTAAATCAACTAACTACATTATAAAATAATTCAAAATAAACCCTACTTTCACCAAGTGCAACATTGAAGTGATGAAGAGATTATTGCATCAATAATACTATCATTTAAAATGTTTGCTTAAATGTGCACAATGAGTACTTTTACTTTTGGCATTTGATGTATATTTTGATATACCACTGCCAGATGGAAAACTGCAAACTCCATTTAGAGAACCACTAATGATATAAACATACTTTGTAAAATCACGATTGGCTGTCCTCATCTGTTTGTCTATGTTTTGCCTGATTAAAAGTCATTTTCAAGTTATGGATATGCAAACTTTTCTGTGGAGTACGTCTGCCTATTTCTAAAATGTATCTGTAAATGAGCGTGAAATACAGTGAGGTTGTTTGGATGCTCAGTTTAATAGGCCTACATCAACTCTTGATTATATCTGGAAGAGTGGAGATCCAAGGGAAAGGGATAATAAGCTATCATTACTTCCAAAAAGACCTCATTATGTTGTCCATACTTCCTCCAAAGTGCACCAGATGTATGTTGAATACAATGAAAGGTAATGAGCGTCAAACCACAAACATCCTAAATAAAGTTGGCCGGGCTTCTTTGTGTTTCTTATAATAAAAACATAACTTTAAGGCTTGATTTATTTGCTTTAATGAGCATGGGGACAACCTGTCTGCTGCAGGTTACATGTATTATTGCGCCGACAGCAGCCTCTGCTGGACAAACTGCGCTAATGCATTCTGCAATGCATAAATTGACTCAATTGCCTCATGACAGGTGTAAACAAAAACTACAGTTGTCTGAAATATAACAGGAGATAAGCTGTCACCTGATGATTTGGACAAATTAAACTCACATTTTTCAGAAAAGTAATTAAATGAGCAGTTGGCGTAACACTGAGTCGACTAAAGCCCAATTAACTTCACTGGCTTTACTTTAACATTCAGTGTTGGAAGAATACTCAAGTAAAAGTACAAATACTATGGTCTTAAAATACTCTTTTATCAGCTAAATGTACTTCAATTATAAACAGTGAAAATATTCGTCAAGCAGAATGGATATTTTCGACGTATTATAAGATTATTATGGTTATTATATTATCCTGTTTTATACATGTAAGAGCATTTTAGTATTGCAGTTTGTCAATGTGGAGATAATGTTGAAATTGTATAGATTAGTAGTACAGTTCTGCAATTTACAATATCAGTTTATCATGTGTTTTATATGTACAAAGTAATAGTGAGTGAGTGGTAAAATACATGTAGTCAAAAGTTCACCTCTGAAAATGTAATCACAAAACAGCCATGTAGCTAATGTAAGCTAAAAAGCTAAACAAATAAAGTAAGCTAACAAGCTAAACACAAGACCATACATTTTACTTACGAAAAATATACCAAGTAAGTAGCCACATAAACTGCAAAAAGTTACATCTGAAGAGATTTTAATATCCCTTTTAGAAAACCAGTTGGCAAACTGCTAAATAATGTACCTGTCAGTTAGCTTTAATGCTAAGGTTTGATTTAAGATTAACTGACAATCGTTAATTACCGTTAACCAAATATTTTTCAATGTTAGCCTTCACACAGAGTAAAGCCCCACAATAATTGGTTTTCAAGTAACATTGTTGTCTATTCTTTAAATATAGTCATGCTTTAATAAATTGTACATTTAACAGATTTATTTATATATTTCTCTGTTTTTATAACGTGTTTTCTTACCAACGAATAACCGCGGATGCAATCGGAACCTTTCTTTCTAGCAGTGTGTGTTCCACCCGGTGTTTTTAGTCGACAGTACCAGAGACGGACCAACTGTGGAAACAAATCCGGCTGTCAGGAATCTTTTAACGATATCGGATTAAAAGAAGAAATCCTCGCTGAAAAACTTCACAAATATCCTGAAGACAGACTCTCTCATTCTTCTTATTAACGGTCCTCATACTTCTCAACACACCAAGTGGTCTCTGAAGCTCTTGTAAAACAGTAACACAAAAAAACAACAACAACAACAATGGCTTCTGGTTCGTCCTCCCCGGACACCGCCACGGGCTCCGGTACCGACCCGGCCCGGCCCGACACCGGAGAGCCTCTCGGGGGGGCAGGGTCGGACTCGGACTCGGACCTGGGGCTGGATCAGTTTGACTGCAGCGGTGGGGAGGACCGGCTGGAGGGGGACGACCTGCAGCGGGAGTTCGAGTCCGCGGCAGACCGGGTCCGGGACCTCGTGCAGAGCGCCGCGAGGGACCAGCTGCTCTACCTGTACGCCCGGTACAAACAGGTGGGGGTTAGAGGAGGACACATATATAACCCCTCAGATACTGGCACCTTGTGGGTTTACATAAGAACCGTACACATTTGGAAGAACATCCATAACATTCATCTGTTCGCAACATATCAATATTCCAATTACTTGTATATAGAC